AAATATACTATATATTTATTATTACTATACACATTGTGTATAAATACAATTTGAATAAATAAATAAAAAAACCATAAATTCTTCAAATTTTGAATTATTCTTCATGATGTAAAGATCGTTTAGGAACTATTAAAGGATGAAGTTGTGCCAGATAAGTGATGGCCCACCTATATATCATTCATTAATTATTATTATTAGTCAATTAGTTCATTCATTTTTTCTTTTTTTAAAAAATTGCAAACTTACATTAAATAACAACAAATTAAAGACAATATTAAACAAGTTCTTGTTGTACTAAAATAATAATAATTAAAATAATTTAGTTGAAATCATTTAAAAAAACCTTCCTTCCTTCCTTCACTAATTCAAAACATTTACTTACGTCTGGTTTTGTCCTTTTGGAACTATGACATAAGAAACGAACACTCCTCCTGACACGCCTAAACCTATCCATATAATATTTAAACCACTCATATTTTATAATTATTGTTCTTTTTTTCCCAAGAAAAAATTTAATAAAACAATTAATTTAAAATAAAATAAAGAGAGATTAGATCAAACTAAAATCTGTTTGTTACACCTTATAAATGCAAGGAAATCAAAATTTAGTGTAATAATAATAAGTGATGATTTCTAAAAAGGATTACATTTATTTTTTACTTTCTGAAGGAGCCAAAACTTTTCTCAAAGAAAATATAGTTTATTAGATGATAATAATAATAACCAATCAAAAAGATAACGGAAACCAAAAAATAAAAATACATATATGAATATCCTTCCTTATATTTTCTTGCTGATAGCAAAAACAAAGGCTTTATTATTGTTGTTATTATTGGAATTGGCCTTGCGAGGCATCCTTTTGGTTAACTTCAATTATTATTTTTACTTTTATGACTCTCGAGTTCGAATTAACTTTGGCTTTTGTCGATTAATTACAAGCAAATTGTGCTTTGCGCTCGTCAATTATTTATTTTATGGATTTATTTATCAACTTACTTTGGTTCTTTTGCTTACTGTCTCTTTCATGTAACTAAAAGCTTTGGCGAATCTGTAAGCACACACAGTATGGTCCAAATAATTATGTCCCGATTTATTTCAGTGGTTTATACTGCAAACTTTTGTTAGTTTGGTTTATTTACAAAACATGTATGTTTTTATAATAGCTCTTTAATACTTTACAATACAATAATACTGGCCGTTTTTATTATATACAGCCAAAGTGTTTCCGATTTATTTCAGATTTATACATTATTACTTGGTAAATAACTGTTAACTCCTTATACCAGGAAGTGCATCTGGAAGTTCTTCAATTGATATTGATGCTAATATATATATTATATGAAATATGATTAATTTTGATGATTATAAAATAATTGGTAGTAAAACAGGATCACATTTGACGAATTTTGGGGACGAAGATGAATATGAATATGATGAGATAGAAATGGACAAGAAGTTAAATTTGTCCAATCAATTAGAATCTGATGAAGAAGATAAACAGTATGATTATTTATTAAATTTTTTAAAAGGATAAACGTAGTAATTTATTTAATTTAATTTGATTTAATTTAATTAATTTAATAAATAAAGATTAAAGGAATATATATCCAAAAGAGAAAAACAACATAAAGATGACCTTGAATTTCCTGACGAGGTGGATACACCATTAGACGTACCTGCAAAAATTAGGTTTCAAAAATATCGTGGTTTACAAAGTTTTCGTACATCACCATGGGATCCATATGAAAATTTGCCAATTGATTATTCTAGAATCTTTCAATTTGAACATTATAAAAGAACAAAATCTAGAATTTTGAATCAGTTTATAGTTGGTGATGGTGTTAAGGTATTTATTTATTTTGTCGACTTTTTTATAATAGTATTATTTTTTATTGATTGGCTTTGCTTTAATTTGACTCTTTTAATATCTATTTAAAGTTAGGTGCACATATAACTTTACATATTTCTAATGTTAAAAAAGAAGTTGCAGGTATCAATTTATTTATAATTATTTTTAATATAATAAAATAAATTTATGATTTAAACATATGATCTATTTATTCTAATTGTTTAACACCTTTTAAAATTTAAAAAGATCATTATGATCCATCAAGACCATTTATCGTGTTTGGATTACTCGAATATGAGCACAAAATTTCCGTTGTAAATTTTTCTGTCACAAGAAATAACGAATATAAAGGAACAATCAAATCCAAGGTATATAAAAAACTTTAATGATTTTGGAATCACAATATTATAAATTTTTTAATTTTAAATTTTATGTTGTTGTTTAGGATGATTTAATACTACAATGTGGGTTTCGTAGATACGTTGTTAAACCGATATATTCGCAGAATACACAAGGTAGAAAATCTACCAATAATGTTCATAAATTTGAGAAATTTTTAAATCCGGGAAGAACTTGTATCGCTACCATATACGGACCTATTCAATTTGGAAATTTGCCTGTTACACTTTATAAAGAACTTGCCTATACTAATGGTCAGCTAGTCGCATTAATAATAATTTTTTTCTTTTCATTTTTAAAAATAAATAAATTAATATTATTATGTTTTCTTTCCTTATCCAAATTATTATCAAATAGTACCAATGATGGTAGCCACAGGATCATTTTTGAATGTAGATCCAACACGTATAATCGCTAAACGTATTATACTTACGGGTCATCCATTCAAAGTACATAAGAAATCTGCAGTTGTACGTTACATGTTTTTCAATCCCGGTAAGAATTAAACATTTTATATAATAATAATAAATAATAATAATAATAGTGATAATAATAATAACAACATTATTATTATTATTTTATTATGATAGATGATGTGGATTGGTTTAAACCTGTTCAAATGACAACAAAATATGGACGCATTGGACATATTAAAGAATCATTGGGTACCCATGGATACATGAAATGTATATTTGATTCACCTATTACACAACAAGACACTGTGATGATGAACCTTTATAAACGTGTCTACCCGAAATGGGATACTACAAAAATTTGGAATAGTAGATTGAAGGATGAATGTATTATCAGTAATGATAACAATGATAATGACAATAATGTGAAAAGAGTTGAAATGGAAATTTAAATGGGAAATTTGATATCATTAAATAAATATTTATCATTTATTTAATATCTATTAATATATATATTTTTAAAATTATTATTAACATATACTTATTTATGTAAATTATAAAAAATAAAATAAAATAAATATACTATATATTTATTATTACTATACACATTGTGTATAAATACAATTTGAATAAATAAATAAAAAAACCATAAATTCTTCAAATTTTGAATTATTCTTCATGATGTAAAGATCGTTTAGGAACTATTAAAGGATGAAGTTGTGCCAGATAAGTGATGGCCCACCTATATATCATTCATTAATTATTATTATTAGTCAATTAGTTCATTCATTTTTTCTTTTTTTAAAAAATTGCAAACTTACATTAAATAACAACAAATTAAAGACAATATTAAACAAGTTCTTGTTGTACTAAAATAATAATAATTAAAATAATTTAGTTGAAATCATTTAAAAAAACCTTCCTTCCTTCCTTCACTAATTCAAAACATTTACTTACGTCTGGTTTTGTCCTTTTGGAACTATGACATAAGAAACGAACACTCCTCCTGACACGCCTAAACCTATCCATATAATATTTAAACCACTCATATTTTATAATTATTGTTCTTTTTTTCCCAAGAAAAAATTTAATAAAACAATTAATTTAAAATAAAATAAAGAGAGATTAGATCAAACTAAAATCTGTTTGTTACACCTTATAAATGCAAGGAAATCAAAATTTAGTGTAATAATAATAAGTGATGATTTCTAAAAAGGATTACATTTATTTTTTACTTTCTGAAGGAGCCAAAACTTTTCTCAAAGAAAATATAGTTTATTAGATGATAATAATAATAACCAATCAAAAAGATAACGGAAACCAAAAAATAAAAATACATATATGAATATCCTTCCTTATATTTTCTTGCTGATAGCAAAAACAAAGGCTTTATTATTGTTGTTATTATTGGAATTGGCCTTGCGAGGCATCCTTTTGGTTAACTTCAATTATTATTTTTACTTTTATGACTCTCGAGTTCGAATTAACTTTGGCTTTTGTCGATTAATTACAAGCAAATTGTGCTTTGCGCTCGTCAATTATTTATTTTATGGATTTATTTATCAACTTACTTTGGTTCTTTTGCTTACTGTCTCTTTCATGTAACTAAAAGCTTTGGCGAATCTGTAAGCACACACAGTATGGTCCAAATAATTATGTCCCGATTTATTTCAGTGGTTTATACTGCAAACTTTTGTTAGTTTGGTTTATTTACAAAACATGTATGTTTTTATAATAGCTCTTTAATACTTTACAATACAATAATACTGGCCGTTTTTATTATATACAGCCAAAGTGTTTCCGATTTATTTCAGATTTATACATTATTACTTGGTAAATAACTGTTAACTCCTTATACCAGGCCAATCAGTCTTCACACTACGTTTTCACTTGAACATTTAACAAATAAGAATTTCAATACTAACACTTGGTTACTCACTAAATCAAATAACGTCATTAATTGTTGTTAACGCTCAACAGTTATCCAGCGTTACTCACTAAAGCAAATAAACGTGACCTTTTACCAAAACCTCACAATTTACAATTGCTGCGTTTTATCAAAAAAAGTTTATTTTACGATTATTTTATTTAGAATACTAATGTGGTGGTATTTGTGCTCTTTCAAGCGAAGACCCAAAGTTTCTGGAAAACTTTTATAGATCATTTCAATAAGTTTTACATATAAATAAAAAAATTTAAATTTATATATATAGGAATATCAGTAAGACTTAATTTCTAGAGTGAAGAACAAAGATCAAAATTAACATAAATAATAATACATACAACTTATTTGTTCTTTATTATATTTTAGTGCAAATTTTTTCGCATTCCCATGTCCATATAAACCAGCTTTCTCAACATTACAATTGATTGAGGTAATCAACTCAACCCCACTCATATAAAATTAAACAACCTATTTTGTCACAACCAGCTTCTTCATGATTTGAAGCTGTTCATTACAAGTCATTGAATTTGGAATATGAATTGCGGTTAAAAGACGATAATGAAACTGCTAATGTATAGTAATTTTAATAATCTGTAAGTAAACTAAAATTTGTTTTTTTTGATCCCAGTTATTGTTGATCATTCCTTTTTATAATATTAATAAATTATGTAAAAAGTCATGTTGTATATATACAAAAAAAAAAACAAAAACCACTTTTGAAACCAACTTTAAACAAAAACTCTTATCCATTACTATATAAATAAACTCATTTAGAAAAATGTTGTTTATTGAATCAACAACAATGAAATTGAAAATTGGAATTATAAACATAAATAAGATAACAAAAGAAGATGAAATAATTTGGGGCATGCTGCAACAAAACCAGACAAAGTGAACATTGGTATTACCAAGGATTTCAGGGATCAAAATTTAGTAATGTGATTATTAAAATCTTCCATTTGTTATCTTAAGTGATATATAGAACTATCCCTATGTAAAAATAGTTAATATGAAACTCATTTATATCAGATCTACTATGGAACCCAAGAATTATAGTACCATTAGAAGTATTTTAAAAAAGGAACAAGGGGAAAAGATTGCACCTTATATTTTCAAAATAAATGATACTCAGACACTGGAAGATTATCTAAGAAAAGAAAGGATTACTTATGAAATTTACCATGAAGAAAGGAAAATAATAAATGTTGGAAAAAGAAAACATCATGATTATACATGTTGTCAAAATTATCGAATTGCATCAGACGCAATTCAAAAACCAAAAAATCGAGCATTGCACCCATCATGGATTTGACGCATTGACGCAAGATGCAATTCATGACGCAAGACGCAACTCATAATTTATTAATGTGATGCATGTATATGTGACATTTTCAAATTTTGTAAAAGTGTTAAAATCTATAATTTTTTTTTACTATTATCATTTCAACTATTAATTTATTACAGTAATTAATTTCTGTGAATTAATTAAAATATAAACCTTTTCTTGCATATTAATAAAAAAAATTTTTTTTTGATGAGTTTGCCCATAATTATAACTTTCTATTTCAGAAATTGGAAAAGTTATTGTCTAATATGAATCATTGTTTAATATGAAAGAACCTTCGGATGTGTTACATTCATATTATGTAATTTTCAAAATTATCATCCAAAATATTAAAAAATTCCTCAAATTCCTCAAATTGGTAGAAATCATAAAGTTCATATTATTTTTGAATGCAGTGTTATTTATAGCATTTTTTGAATGTAATATCAATGTTTTCAATAGCATGAATTGCATCTTGCGTCTGCGTCAATGCGTCACGCATAGTACTAATTGCATCACCCGCCTTTTAATAAAATAAAGGTTTTTTCATATATTTGTTATTTTCATGATTCAAGTAATAATTTGATTAAATCGGGCAAGTTTGTGTATGAAAGCGTGATTTTTTTCTTCATTTTTTCATATAAAATTCCATGTTGATCAAAAAAATTTTATTAGTGAGTGACACTTGACCCCCTGTAGATCCGCAATGTCCTGCGACTGATATGTTTTTTTACGCTATCAAAATTCGCGATTTTGATTGGCCAATCAATGATTACATGGAGTTAAAATTTCGTGTTACCAGCACGGTCTCTAGACTCGCGTCATTCGCGAAAAGTATTTTTTAAATTACATAACACCTTCAAAAACAATTTTTTTTTTCTTGAAAAAATGAACCTATATTTTAAAGATCAATTACCATACACCTTTGATTTGATTCGCTTTTATGTTTTCCAAATAATTTACGAAGACAAAATTAAGACAAAATATAGTAATAAGGTAAAAGAAGTGAAAACTTTATGATACAATAAAATTATTTTACTTAGTGTTGTTTTTTACTATGGTTTTATTTCTGTTTATTTCAGTTAGAAATAAATAACCATTTTTGCGATGGAATTGAATTATTTTCTCTTAATGATGAAGAGTATAGGACGCACTTAAAAGATGAACATCTTCGTATCACTGAGGTTAGTTTAAATCTTTGCTGTGGAAAAAATTATTTTCATTCAAATGATGAAAAAAAAATCTCTGGAGACGATTTATAATTCTTATTACATTATTATTATTTTATTATTGTTATATGACTTTAAATCCTCTGTGAGGCACTTGCACGCTTGATGCTCTGTGAGCTCCCTTGCACGCTTGTGTATTTCCTTTTAAATTAGAATTTCTTTGATTTTCTTGAATCCCTTTCTCTTTTGCTTTTTCGTTATTATTTTCAATTTTCTTTTTTACTTGTAAATCAGCATAATTGAATGATTGTCTATGTTAGATTTGGAATTTTTTCTGTTATACTTGATACACTTAAGGTTCTGTGTATTTCGTTATACTTGATAAGCTAATAACTTTTTTAATTTTTACCTTTATTCAAAATTCCAACGTGCATCAAATGACCTTTCGACTTTATGGGGAGGTATAATTAAAGACAAAAACGTGTTGCGTTTTGGGGTGTGGTGAAAAGATATATTGATGATTTAAATATTTATAAAATCCCAGGTACTTTTTAATCAAAGCCAGATGAAATATTAAAGTTCTTGACAAGCATTTATTAAAATGTATTTTAGTTTCGGATTCTGTTCATGAGATGACTTCTCCTTCTTCACTCCTTTCTTCTGCTACTATAAGATATTCAACATCAACAAATTCATCTAGATAAACAACTTCACCAAGATCAAGAAAGGTGGTATCACCCATGGTTGGCAAATTGACTGGTCCATTGAGAACAGATGGATTTTGGACTGATCCATCGCCATTAATAAAATACTAAATATGGTTAAAGTATTACACTAATGGACCCAATGGACCACCAATAAACCATCAATGGACCCGCACATTTGTCAACCCTGGTATCACCCAAATGATGCAATTTTTCGTGGAATCTCGAATGTAGATGATGTTTTTGAGAAATATTGAATTGTACGTATATTTATTCGTCAATTTATCATCTAATGTGTTGTTAATTTTAT